GAACATCAGCAGGAGAGGACTCTTTAAAAAGAGAACATTCACAAAGCAAACACATCTAGGTACACAGATTAACTTCATAACAGATGACAAATCGAAAAGAAATAATAGTAATAATAATATTACAAATAAAAGAATGGATCCACTATTAATACTCAGGTATACATTCATTATATTGTTCTATACTTGACCCATTTTCCCCACCTTTCCTCAAAGATATGCATTTGATTTCTAATCTAGTTGTTTTCTCCATTACATAGATTTCCTTTACTAAGTTAGTCCATTGTGAGTTTATTAAGTTGTTATCTTTTAGCCAATTCCTTGTGATTTGTTTGCTATTCTAATTAGCAGAAATAGGTAGGAATCTCTAAGTCTAAATATTTTTTCGTCTCTTGGCTCTGCAGGTGTCTTTCTACAACGTTGACGCTAAAATCCACATCCACACGTTCCACGACTCGTTCACCGAGTGCATCTTCCCGTTCTTCAGCCCCTGCACCAACAAATCTGGGAAGAACGACGGGCCGCTCACTATCACACCTGTCACATGACACACACACACACCTGTCACATGACACACACCTGTCACATGACACACACACACCGGTCACATGACACACCTACCTGGAAGTTGTTGTGTTTTTTGTACACACTTAGTTATCTTGTGAAAATGATTCCAGGTCATGTTTTTCAGTTTGGCTGCTTCAAACTTTCTCCTGATTGTAAATAGTTCATGGCAATTTGAATATTGTGTGCTGATCATTAAAACAATCACATTCAATTAACGAACACATCTGGTTTTATTCATGCAGTCACTTTGGTTATTATCTAACCATTGACTTCCACTTACTTGCAGATAAGCAATTTGGAGACCTGACCTTTTTGCTCTGATTACTGACAGTATTATTTGGTGTATGGAATGTTTGGATATGCAAATGAGGCATTATCTAACGCTTACTTTCGGGGAATTAAGGAGAAACCTAAAGACAGAAAATAGACTTAGTTTGTAGAAAATATGAAAATAAATTAGATGTTTTGAGAAGTCTGATGTAAGGGAAGCAAAATAGCCCAAAAGAGAAGAAAATTGTATTTAGCCTTTTTTGTTTTGCTTTAAAGGGGCCCTATTACGCTATTTGGGGGTTGTCCCTTCCTGTAGTGTGCTTTATAGGTGTTGGTGCAAATGGTCCGCAAAGGCTAATATCCCTGTAGCCAGCTGACCAATCAGAGCAGACTGGACTCTGGTTTCAGACAGAGGGTGAAAAGAGGTGCTGCAGCAAAGGCAGTATGAGACAAAGAGCTTTTTGAACATTAAAGCATGGAGACATGTCCCAGTAGAGACTACTGATATACACCTGAACATTAGCTGGAGAGGACTCTTTAAAGTAGAGACACTACATACTGATATACACCTGAACATCAGCAGGAGAGGACTCTTTAAAGTAGAGACACTACATACTGATATACACCTGAACATCAGCAGGAGAGGACTCTTTAAAGTAGAGACACTACATACTGATATCACTTGAACATCAGCAGGAGAGGACTCTTTAAAGTAGAGACACTACATACTGATATACACCTGATCATCAGCAGGAGAGGACTCTTTAAAGTAGAGACACTACATACTGATATACACCTGAACATCAGCAGGAGAGGACTCTTTAAAGTAGAGACACTACATACTGATATACACCTGAACATCAGCAGGAGAGGACTCTTTAAAGTAGAGACACTACATACTGATATACACCTGAACATCAGCAGGAGAGGACTCTTTAAAGTAGAGACACTACATACTGATATACACCTGAACATCAGCAGGAGAGGACTCTTTAAAGTAGAGACACTACATA